GCACATATTTAAAAATTGCACAACTTTTCGGTAAGTTATGCATGTATTTGTTTTCAGATGCAGTCAATATCTACACTGGCAAGAGATTTTTAGGTTTTGATATATGGCTCTGATGGCTGCCTTTGTAGGGAGAAATGCATCCTTGAACACTGCACTGTCAAAGTAATATCCACAAATCGTTCAGTGCCCATCACAGGCAGATAGTAAATATTTTATACCTTACTGAAAAATAATATTTCTTCTTCTCAAGTATTGCTCATGTTCCCTTTGGGCAACTCTCAGAATAGCCTTTTGGGACTAATAAAAACTAATAGTTCCCTTTATGCTTTAAAAGCTTTCATCACATGGGCAACCCAAAGCATTTCCATGGCAGCAATCCTAGTCACTTACTTTGAAAAACAAATATGCATTGAGGAGAGCATAGGGAAAGTAAAACTTCTTTCCTTTGTTCTAGCATGAAGATGTCACCTATGCTGTGTGCAGGACTGCCACTAGCATGGATGGTCTCTCTGCAGGGGTGGCATGGAGGAACAGCCCTGCTCCAGGAAGATGCATCAAAACACTGTACAAAGAAAATGAATGGTGTGCCTGGGACAGACTGCTGGGCTCAGAGGGAAGGTTATGAATAAAGGTGTCATACATCCTTCTGGTTTTTAATCCACACTGTTCTTATTTCTCACATACTGATCCATCTTTTTATTGCTGTATTTGCAGCTGGATTGAAATGATTTGGTTTAATGATAATTTTTGCTTTAGGAACAGATGTGCCTTACTTTATTTCAAATAGGACTGACACTGAGCAGGATTGTTGGAGGGACATTCTGGCTAGCCCACAGGCACCTCTGTTTTCTCTACTTCCAGGTTGCAGGACGTTGATGATGCTGGACCAAGCTTCATTTGCCATGATTATGGTTTTGAGAAGCAGCAGTGTGTCATTATGTCCCTGGAAGCTGAACATTATAAAGGGAAGAATGGAAATAATAATAATAATAATAATAATAATAATAATAATAATAATAATAATAATAATAATAATAATAATAATGCTTCCAGAACACTCTGACAACTGTCTAACATTCTGCCCTTGAGCTATTCCTCCAAACAAAATTTCCAGTATGTATTCATCCCTTTCAAATGTCTAATGGAGTGTTGAGCCAGTAAGACAGCTGGGAAGTTTGAGTTTCTGCCTGCACAATGGTAGCAGTGTCTGTGCTGTCAAAATTAACTCTCCATTTTTTCCTGCTCGTGCTGAAAAAGATCTTTCTAACATTTGAAAAATATACTGTGTGCTCAGAGATCTTATGTTCCTTTGCTAGTTTAGTTCAAGCAAAGCTGATTAAAAAATTCAATTCTAGTGTCATTCAAATAACCAGTGATGCCTCATACACTGGTATCATGATGGTCTATTTTAAATACATGATTTCATGGTGTGTGGAAGGATCAGCACAGCAGATCACTGTTTGGCTAATGAGGTGATGGGTACTGCATAAAACCTAAAAAGAAGCATCAGCCCAGCTCTATAGATATTTCCAGACTAGATTGACATAATATCTGCTGATACTGGCACTTGTCCAGTAAATCCAGCTTTGGATTGCACTTACCCAAGACATTTCATCATGGTCTGTGGAGTTTTGCAGCTGAAAGGGAGAAAAGGATCTTGCCCATTTTTATTAGACCTAATTTCTGTTGAACAGTGGATTTTGTGATTTATTTTTCAGCCAATGTACAAAACTGCATCAAAATATCAGATATGTGAATTGGCACTTTTTTGACCTGAGCTGCAAGACAAAGAAGGTTTATAGAGATCTGCAATATCCATTTTGACCTCTCTGCCTTTGATGGTAACAGCACATGTTCAGCATGAACTCAGTTTTTAATATATAAGTGACCCCCTTGGGGATCTGTTCTAAAGAAACTTGCACTTCTCAATGATGGAAATAAATGTTTTTCTCTTTAAGGGAGAGAGGGAAGCAGGTAAGGAGTACTCTTCTCCTTGGATATGGAAAGCACATGTAAATACAAGATGCCATTTATCATTATTTGATATATAGCAAAATACAGTAATTTCACTTAGCAGCAGGTTTTAAGAAGATTAAACATGCTAGGAAAATTGTTTTAGAATAACAGTGTAACAGGATATTGTAAATTATTTTGCAGTAGGCTGTCATGCTATGTCACCATAATTCTTCCATATTTAATTAAAACCCACAGCAAATTAATATTCAGGTCCTGTCAAGAAAACTAATTGGATACAGGGACCAGCTGCTGGAGAAGTTGGGATGTCAGCTTCAGAGGGTAATGTGAATGGTTCACACTGGCTTGTGGGTACATGTTTAAAACACTCATCATAGAATCACAGAATTAGAGAAACATGGATAGAATGGTTTGGGTTGGGAGGGACATTGTAACCATCTAGTTGCAATCCCCTTGCCATGAGCAGAAACCTTCCACTAGACCAGGTTACTCAAAGCTCCATCCAGCTTGGCTTGTGCATTTCAAGGGATGGGGCATCCACACATTCTCTGGGGAACCTGTGCCACTACCTCACACTGAAGATCACCATGGACTTATGGTCAAGACTGGTTTTGTTTATAACAAAGTCTTAGCATTTTAGCAAAAAAGATTTATCTTTAATGATAAAGTATGATCTAAATATGATAAAATATTAACTAAATCCTATTTAATTTAGAGACTGGAGTTTTTTTAAAGCAATCCTCAGATGATGCTCTGTGATAGAAAGTTATTTTCAGGGAAAGGTGACAGCCAATAGTGTCCATGGTTCTGCATACCCAATAGACCTTCAGTTTCTTCCCCTATCTCTGAGATTAAGCTCTTTTAAGGTAAGGATGGATACTTCAAATCATTAGTCCCTTTTTTAGCATTGTAATTCTTGCACTGGTCTGAGCCATCACTCAATCAGGCAACATAATTATGGTAGAGTGACTGTGGGAACTGTAGTACCCATTGGAATGGGGCCAGCCACACTGACCAGGTTTCATGCTAAATAATGAAATTAAATTGACATTAAATACGTCACAATGAATCACACTCCAATTCAAGGTGATATTTTATAGTGCTGCAGTTTCAGAGATGTGTATGTTTTTTTAAAAATAACTCTTAAATTACTAGGGCTTTCTACAGCTCATTTGTAAACTCACAAGTACAGGGTATTGCAGGGTAGCAGCACTGTTTGCACTGTTTGCAAATTGGTCGGAAATAGGAAAAAAAAACCCTATGAAAGCTGGCATAAATCTGACTTATAAATATTGTGTTAGTATGGGCTATGTAATTCTCCTACTCTTGCAGTACTATACAATATCCACAGATACACTCTTTTCTAGTAAATTGTTGTGATTTTTTTCCATCATTGATTTATATTGAAGTGCTCAACTCCAACACTTTTGTTCCTAGCTAGCAATTAAGATGAAAGCACTGTCCTTTCTGAGAATGGCATTCATTCAGGCAATACAGAGACCTGACACAGTTTTGCTCTTTTACTCAGCAATTGTTTGTGAAACAATAGAAAGGAACTCTTATTTCATTGCCTTAAAAATAAAGAGAAAAAAAAAAAACAAAACAAAGAAAGAAAAAAGGCAGAAAAAGGCAGTAAAAATTTAGCTTACAAAGAGAGGAGAAATGGGATTTACAGGGAGCCAATGTCATGCTGTGTGGAAGCTAATATACCAAATTCAGAGTAAATGAAAATATATTATGTTAGACAAATTAGAGATGGTTGAATTAATCTTCAGTAAGTGACCAACATTGTGCTGCTTCTGTCTAGGTTCTCCACTTGATGCTGATTTCTGGTTCTGCTCTTGTTGCTATTTAAGCAGATTATTCTGTGAGTACCTGAACTGCTTGCAGACATCAAGGACATCAAGAATTCTCTCGCCACAGTGACGAAATGCCAGTCCCAGGTGGGTCAGTGCTGAACCCCAGCAGGAGTCCGTGCCCTGGGACTTGGTCCCAGCTCCTCTGAGACTGTCAAGGACCTCAGCCTAGGCCTCGGTGGGCTGGATCTGGCCCCGGGGAGCTCGGCATGCCCTGGAAGAGTTCCAGGTGGTCAGAAACCATGTGATTTGCCTGGCTGAGAGCTCTTTATCACCCTCATTTAGAGAGTGATGCTGGCTGAGCTGCAACACCAAGTGGGTGACACACTCAGTCCTGCTTAAATCCTTTTTTCTGTTTTGGTAGTGTTTGGGCAGGGTCTCTTTGCAGGCCAGGGGCACAACTGCCGTGGAGGCAGGGAGAGCAGCTGTCCTTGTAGCTTGTGATGCACAACAAACATCCATGAGATGGACACTAAGTGTCCTCTGAACTTTTCTCACACACTAAATTCACCAGAGGAAGCCCAACATCTTTCTAGGCTTTGGTACAACATCAGGTAGCAAACACCTCCTCTTGTAAAGCTTGTTCTGCCACAGAGAACAATATTGCTCTGCACTGTATTAGTGTGTATCTTCCACATGCAATTCCTGCTAATTTAATGAATTATTTAGCCGTGCCATGCTCACAGGCTCATGCCAACACGGTAATGGAATTCTGTACTGGCTAGGGGTATAGCCAGATGTTCACAATTTTTCTCCCTCTTTCTGCACAGATTTTATGTAAATTGCAGGAAGAACAGCACTGTCATCACCACCTTCTCCATTAATAAATCCCGTTAACAGGCTCCATGCCTCTACAACTCAGTCCACAAGGGACAAGCTGTGGGGTGTGATCCCTACACTTTGTGAGTTAGGATGCTCAGTGGTGGGAAGGTAAGGGCCAGTGGGGCCATTTTCTTCAGTCGCCTGCTCCTGCTGGTGTAAGTCACACATAACCACTGCTGGCAGATCAACACTGAAGTGCTGTCAGGAGAGAACCAGGCCCAGCAAACTCAGAAAGAATTAGATAGGCAAAAAGTTAAAGGGTGATCAGAAGGTGATGACAGAAACACAGCAGGAAATCCAGAGCTGTAGGGTGTGACAGTTTTGCAGAAACTTTTTTCTTTTTTTTCCTAGGGATTGTTTTTCCACTGTTGCCATGATTTTAACTGAGTACCAACAGAGTGAAGAGTTGGGCTCACTCTCTCCCTGTTTTCCACTATTCAGTCCCCTCTTCAGAGGATTTACTTGTGATTTACACTTGCAGAAGTGAGAAGAGATTCAAGCTGTGCTCATGCAATTATATCAAACTGGGGAGAGAGGCCAGCAGAGCTGAGTTTGGTGGATTTTGGGGCTAGGGCTATTTTTGCACAGCTGTACTCCCTGCTCAGCCATTCAAACCATTCCGTAGTGAGACAAAGCGGATGCAGCCATTCTGAAGTCCAAGCAGTTTCAGTTCAGGGCTGCTTTTCAACTCATTATAACATCTGTGCTACAAAAGTATTTAAATATAAGCTCACTTTTATCAAGTTCATTGCAGTAGTTAAACTTAAGCATGTGCTTAAATATTTTTCTAAAGTGGGTCCTTGGTTTGATAGCACTTTATACATGATGTCAAAGTTAATACTTTGGTATTATATACAGGTCCACTACTCAAGAGTATAAGAGTTACCCATTTACCGAGATCTAGAAATGTAATTTATAATTCAAGTCTTTCAAGGGAAGAATAATTGTCCGATTTTGCACTGCTGCATGGGAGAAAACAAAAGTGGGTTTTGTGTTTGTGTGCACTGTGCTTTTTGTGTTTATGTAATTTTTCTTTATAAATTGCTTTATATTTTGGGGCATTGAAACTTACCTGATGCTGTAAAATGCTTCCTATTAAGAAAAGTCTTGCACCTTGCCACAGCTGTGGGATTTTGTGGAAGTGTTATACTGGTTCCAGACTCCATCTGTGGTCTTGCTCACCCCAAATGCCCAATAATTACATGCGAAATTCACACCCTGACACAGGCATGATGATGGATGGTCTCTGGCCAGAGTGATCCCTGCTCTCTGGTCACTTGAGTTGCCTTGCCAATGAGGCTGCCTTTCTGTTTACTCAGTTAATGAGGACCAGCATTACAAAATGCATGGCAGGGATTCAGTTTACATTATCAGTTAATAGACATAATTGAGTGGAAGGAAAACTAGTTTCTGATGTCACCAAATGTCTCTTGTGATAAAGCATTTGGAATATAGTGGTTAACATTTCATTTAGCACTGACGAAGATTTGTGTATCGGTTGATTTGTATTGTTTGTGAAATCATAATAACATAATAATTGCTAGCAGACACATTCCAATCATATTGGGCGAAGACTTCCTCTCCATTTTTCTTGTCTTTCCAGTCTTACTAATTCTCCAAACATGCCATCAGACATCTGATGCCAGAATTTGAGTATCTGTTTTTCTGTCTCCACATCTAGACTCCTGAAAAGATAGCCAAATCTTTCTTGTTTTGTTTTGTGGTTTTTCTTTTTCACGGAAACCTAAACACTGAGATCAGTGGGAATTGAAGATTGACTAATATTTTAAATTGGGCAACTTAACTATGCTATAGCACATGTGTTTTTAGCAGATCAATAGACAACCACCAGGAAAGGACACTCAGAGCATGTAGGATAATTTTTAGGCTTGGTAGGACCACTAAGACTTCAGGTTGTGCATGGTACAGACGTTTTTAGAAACTTGTTGCAGAATTTTGGCACACTCCTCTTTGGCGCCATTAAGAATCTTGGCTCTGAGATGGGAAAACATCTAGCAAGCTAACACTATTTACCTGTTTGTTGACCATCCATATTCTGATTTGACAAATATTCATCAATATGTATTTTATTTTGAAAAAAAATAAGACTCAACTGAGACAGTATTTTACCTTATTTTTTTTTTCCAGTAAGTCATCATATCAGTTTCAACTAAAAAGATATGTTTAACTCATAGATATATTTGCTTTTCCAGCAGGAAAAACCTTGAGAATAAAAAGAAAATAGGAATACATTGGGGGACATAAACAGTAGTTTTCTCTCTATATAGAAATAAATAACATCTAAAAATCTTTTTGCTTCCTACTTTAGTAGACTAAAATCCTAAAAGCTTCTTATATGTGCTGGTTGACTAAAAATAAAGAGCATTTATCACATTATCATTCACACAAAAACTGCCTGCACAGCCTGTGTAGTCCCCAAGCTGCTGGAGGCAGGAAGGATATTTCATGTCAGTACCAGTTTATAAGGCTGAGTTCTTCCCTTGCTTTTTCTCAGGAACAGGATATTAGACAACACAGGCTTTCAGGCTGATGTGTTATGACCAACATTAACTTCTTAAGCTTGAAAATGCAAGTTGCTAGTCAAAATACTGGGAATTATTTTAGCACTGGTGGTGGTTTTATAAATATTAATCAGAACAAACAAGAAAGTAGGTACCAGAAAATAGAGCAGTTAAACTCGAGGCTTTGGAGTCTACATGGGCTGTATTTTGCCTCATCCTGTGCAGTGGCAGGTTAGTGCTCTCCATGGACCTGTCTTAGAAGCCAAGCACATGTTTCTGAAAGCATCTCTGTGGGCCTCCTGGCTGCTGGCATACGTTAATTTGGCTAAGGAGGGACTACGGGGGCCTGTGGATTCAAAGAAGGTGATTTGTACTGCCATGTAGAAAAGTAATCAGAAGTCATTTTCTGGTGAGGAAGGATCCAGTGTATGGACTTAGGAACTCTTTTGGTGCCACCCTTTGTACAGTCCAAGCCAAGAGACCATGTGAGCTGGACTTTTTGATGTTACCTCTGATTTCTTGAGGTATGGCTGGAACATGTGGGCGGTTCTTGAGGTGATGCTGGCGGGCTTTGCCAGATGGACCCACAACTGTTCTCACTGGCATACTGAGAAAGCTGACTTCTCCAAAATCACTTGGATGGAAAGGTGGCCAGGGACAGGAACAATTTACAGAAAAGGAGTGAGAGATCCACCACACTCTGCTCTTGGTGCTGGTACTGTGTCCTGCTTCAGAGCAAGGTGGCACCATCACAAACCAGAGCAGCACACAGGTGTGTCCAGTACCTTAGCAATAAGTCTCAGACCACAGATGTCAGTCAAGTAGAAATAACCAGAGAAGCATCTGGAGGGAGATGTCAGGGGCGGTCAGAACTGCAGCACCACCCTGGAGCATCCATCATGACTGTCTATAAGTTGTCCAGCCTTTGCTGACACTACTTGCTTATGAGGAACTTGCAGAGATGTAAGAGATGCAAAGAAGGCCATAATGAAAAGATAACTGTGTAAAACCTCTGTTCTTCTAATATTCACATGTATTTTAAAGCACTGGATATCTATTCATTTGAGAACACTTCCCTGACTCTCTGGTGCATCTATTGCCTCATCACTTCTCTCAATCTTTTTAGTCTGAGTGCAGACAGTTAACACCACAAAAAATGGATGGACATACAATCAGTTTTCTCTGCCTAGAATCCACAAGGGCTTCCTCCTCAGCCGACATAGGAAAATTATCCTGTAGCACCAGCCCATGCTGTCACAGTCAGGCCTGCCATACCCTGGGGAACATTAACCTAAATATACTTCTTGAAATATGTGAGAGTGGCTCAGGGGAAATCTCTTGCAGACAAATTTCCAGACAGGGTTAATGCCTTTATTTTCCTTTGTTCCAACTTGGAAGTTTTGTCAAACCTGGAGACTGTTAACGGTCCAGGGATTAGGAAGGGTCCAGGGATCAGGGTGCAAAAGCAAAAAGTGAAAAGAAAAAACTAGGGTAAAAACCCAAGAAGTAGGAAGGAAGCTACTGGTTGTGAGATCTAACCCATGCTGTGGCTCATTATTATTACTTGCAACTGCAAATGTTGATGAAGTGCTGCAGAGTGCCAGTAATTAGTAGGCATGGCTCTCCAACTGCTGCAGCATGTGGTCAATGAGTTCCTGCCTCCAAGAGATGTTCTGCACTGTAAGAAGAGAGATTTATGTTACTGACAAACATAAAGAGAGACTGAAATACAGCCTATATGCCACATTAGGAATGGGATTTCTCCTATACCTCCTATCTGCAGAAATCATCCCAGGCTGGAGAGATGGTGAGAGGTGAGGCTCAGCATCTAGGGTGCAAGTCAGAATATAAATCTTTCTGTTTTCTTCTCTTCAGACTCCCACCAATCTGTTCAGCAGTATCTGGGAAAAAGAAATCAAACTCATGCAACATGGAATGCTGTTGGGTGGCTTAGTGACAATCATTGATGCATATCCAACAGCACTGGCTTTATGGCTGATGCCTTCCACAGTTTCCACGCCTGTGCTGTATAAAATTCTCTTAATTATATTTCTAGTCAAACTCTTCCTGCCAATTGTAGGCTATACATATTTTACAAGCCTGGTAAATAGGGTATGAGCAAAGAAACCCATAAAGTTGGTACGGTGCCAGGTTAAGTGGGAGCAGTGATGGGACTACAGTCATCCCTTGGAGGCTTGCATTGTGTGCCACCTGGTGTGGTGTGGAGGGACAGGGGCCTGAATTCCCCTTTGTTCCTGGGTAGATCCCAATCCTCTGTCAGTGTTGAATTGTAGCTTTGCATGGCAGACCTACCCTTTGGCACATTGTTTTTCCAGTATAGTGTACAGCTCAGCTTCAGATTTCTAGCCTCTGAACTGCTGAATGAAGTCCTTTAGAACCTCATGAGGATGAAGAACATCTTGAGTGGCAAAGTCTAAGTTCTTCTAGTTATATATCACTATGTCAAATACTTTCCTGGCAATCTTTCATTAAGCCAGATCTTAACATGAGTTTGTCATTTACTCCCACTTGTGATAAAATGAAGATCTAGGAATTAGCTCCTCTGTTCACTAGGTAGCTTCTTTCAACTCCTGCTCTAATTTTAGAAGATTGACTTAAAACTGTGAGCTCTCGGGCTGTCAATATTCTCTAAATTTAAACAGTTCTTCTGCCTTGCTCACACTTGCCCCTGATATTTTTACAGATAATGACCATATTCTCTCCCAACCTTCACTCTGATAAGCTAAAAACGTCAACCTTTTCTAGTGTCCCCTCAAAAAATAAATGTTAAAATTCCAGAACATCCTACAAGACCTGGTCTACTCCATTCCAGGTTGAATTCTTCTTTGCTCCCACATGGCAGGAGAATTGGGTATGAGGCTCCAGGTACAGTCTTAATGAAGTCTTGCTCAGCTTAAGGCACTAAGTGTGCGTCGTGCATGCAGGAACTACCTCGCCTGTTTACATACTCTTTGGTGAGGATGTGGGACTACGTGAATGTAATTGTCCTCCAGCTTTCAAATCTACAAATGGTTCCACATTTGCCTCTAGTTCTGCTCTTAGGAGGGGCACCTCTTTTTTCTCCTATAGAAGGAACAAGAATCTAAATTAGGAACAGACTGAAAAATATTTTAATAAAATACATTCTGCTGTTTTGTTTGACACTGGGAATGAACAGCTTATAGATCAGAGAGCTTTTTACATATTAATTTAGGCTTGGCTTCCTATGAGCCCACGCTTCTCCAAGCACGTGCTGCACGTGTGTGCATGTATGGATGTGAATGTGCTATTAATAAGTTTTCAACTTCTTGACTAATTTCAAACATATTTGATAATCTTGGTCACACTGTATCCCAACAGATTTAATGAAAATCAGCAGCCAAGAGGAGGAAATACTGTGCTGTCATCTCCACTGAAGACAAGCTTCGCCTAACCCTTTCTTAGATGCTAGGAAACCCTGTCAGGTTCCCAGATACGGGAAACAGTAATTTGGAGCTCACAGGTTGTTATATATTATATTGTCAAGCCAGGACACAAATCCATGGGAAACCAGCTTGCATTAGTTTTGCTGCTCTGAGCTATTTGCTGGATTTGCGTATTTCCCCTTACTTAAAGAATTGGATATCTCTGAAAATGCATATCTACCCTTGTCTTTTTACAGTCTTGTAATACGTATGGAAATTGTGTATCTGCAGACATATATTTGAATACATCTCATGAATGAATTTGTCTTTCATTCACACCCACTCCCCCACTGTATCTCTACTCCTTTGTAGCTGTTTAGATGATCCATATTTATTTCTCAATCTATAGATTTTATTGACAACCTTACAGACAAGTACATCATCACCATCCAAATCTTCTTTCTGCTCACTCCCAGATGTTGGACCTATAGATCAATTTTCTGTGTCTGTTTACAGGATGAAGAAAGAATAACATGAATTGAAGATTAGAAGATTTCTGTGGAAGGGGGCACAGCCATGGCATTGCAGAGTTTATAGCTACCCCAGAGGTTCTGATTAGAACCAAGATTTGGCCCCACATCAAGCAACAGATCAATAGTTCTGCTGTTAGCAATATATATCTGTTAACAAAACATTGGTCCAAGTTACTTAGTCCAATAGCTCACTAACTGCAATACTGCATGTGGTGTTGGGAAACTGTTCCAAGGGCTTTTAAAGAGAAAATAACAGTCCTTCTTGGTGCTCTGTGTTTTCACAATAAACAACCATAAATAAGATGCTGCTAGTAGACTCCATTTTCTCTGATTACACTGCCTTTCTGTCCATCAGCCACAGTAAATCTCTCTCTTTCCTTGAAGTATCTTATATTGTGCAAAATCAATATGCTGTCAGAGTACTTTGCTACCTGACCGCCAACACCAGCATAGCATCTCCCCTGGGGAGCCTGACTTCGTGTGGGAGAAAAAATCCACCCTGTCCTAGGGCTGGATTTAGAAGGGGTCTGAGAAGTCAGGTGCTGTGGGGGACTTGGGTATTTTTTGGCTCTGGCTCACTTCTGGATCTCTGCACCTGGCTCCTTCGGCTTACAACCCCCGGGGGCCTCCAACATCCCATGCCTCAGCAAACTTGGCCAGACCGCAGCCACAGCAGCAGCACAGCGAGCTGCTGCCAGCTCCCAGCTCAGCATTATCAGTGTTAAAATATTTACTGCATGTGCAATTCTCAACAGCTCTTAACTCTGGCAAATGAAAACCAATTTTAACCGGAACACTCCAAAACACTTCTCTGCAATGAGGGCTATCTATCTGTCTGACAAATTCAGAATTGCTTCCCCCAGCTGTTTTGGCATTAGAGCTGTTAAAAAAAAAAAGAGTTGCAACAATTTTCTGCTATATAGATGTTGAAAAAAAAAATCATTCTCTTTGTATTAAAAACTGGTGATATCTTCATGCCAACAAATCAAATGAGATTTCAATTGCAAAAAATTAGAAAAATAGAAAAAATTCTGCCTGATCAATAGACATTCAAAGTGTTACCAGGAATTAGCCAGAGGGAGCTGGGATGGAAATGCCTGCTGATGGCAGCTGCTATATATAATGTCCTGTCTCAGGGCAGTTTGAACCCCTCAGGGCTGTGTATTGATCTAGATTTTAGGGCACAGAACCATAAATCCCTGTGGTCTGCCAAATCACTCACATGTGTGACACCAAGCATGTGACTGAATCCTATTCCTTCCTCCTGAGCACCCAGGCACTCACTCAACTCACAGCTGGAGCATCTGATGGGCTCTTTGAGGACCCCAGTCAGCCTAAATTCTGTAAAATTCAGCTTTGGTTTTGCTTCCCACTTAGTTTAGCTTCATTGCTATATTTGCAGGTTCAGTGTGTGTATGACCAAGCTGTGAAAACAGCAACCAAACAAAATGATACCCTAAGGTCTGATCAGCAGCTCTCTGGGATTTACTTCTTTCAGGCTATCATCCTCAGTTTTAAATTGGAGCAGGGAGCACAGCATGGCCATTTTATTGAATGGATTAGAGAAAAATTGAGCTGGCTGATCTGTATGATGACATTACTGAGTTGTGTTTGCAGCTATGACAGAAACAAAGAGCTTTTATTGGATTACTGAAGCACAGGGAGAAAAGGGGAGAGAAAAGGTAATGTAGAGGTGAGCAGGTATTAACTTGGTGCCTCTGTGTTTAGTGTCTCCAGCAAGGGCTCTCTTCTCTGCTAGCCTCTCTACCCAGCTCATTGCTGGGCTGGCTGCTGCTGCCTTCCCAAATGCCACCAACCACATATCCAAAGAGACAGGAATTAGATGCAGTCCCTCATTAGTGGATGCTCACATTACACTTGTTCATCACCCAGATAAGAGTATTTGTGACTTAAAAATAAAACAAACAAAAGCCATTTGGAGGTGAATATCCTCTTTAACGGATATATTTTTGTGCAAGCCAGGTGTTTAAAAACTGTGGTGTTGCATGACACCTACTGACAAGCAAGGCATACCACAGTCCAGTGTGTAGGCAGCTGAGTTGTTTATTTTTACTGGTGATTTATTTTTACATTTGTTAAAAGTATATGATTGAAAAGGAAGGAATTGATATTTTGTACCATGCGAATATGTGACAGTGAGTGACCGACACATATACATGTATGCGTGTGTATAAATGTACCCTACCCTATATTTTATGCACTTCTTTTGCATGTTTAGTTTATAGACTGGTGTTAAAACTACCATGTCCAGCAGCTTTGTTGATTCATTTTATTGGTGGCTGAGGAGGAATGTTAGTAGCAAATGTTGTACTCAGTACAAGAGAGCAACCTACAGGTTATGCTTTTAAAATGATCATATATTTTATTCATATGGTGCCTGTCAGTCATAGAAGCCTCCTGTGAAATATTACTGAAATGAAATGCAGCTAAGACTCCATATTAAAATGACACAGTCTGATTCTCCACTGCTTTGCATGCTGTGCCCTTAAACTGCTGAAATCAAACCATGTGGAGAAGAAAACTATACAGGTATGAAGTGGCCTTACAAAATAAGAACATTTTTCAATTGCTTTCCTCTGGTATGCTTTGTCCTACTAAATGATCAGGAAGAATTCAGAGCCATGATTGTGCTGTGTTTCTATTGTAGTTTTATTCCCAGACCAAAACATTCGTTATCTTGTCAGTTCTCCTGTGGCACAGGTAAGAGGTCTGAGGGACACATGACCAGGTGCCAGATCAGAGCCCCACCAAAGGCCATCAGCCTCCTCGCCTTGCCAGTCAGGATTTCACCCAACAGCTGTTTAAGCAGGAAGAGTTCTGCATCACAGCTCAACCCAGCTCAGCACTGATATGCCAACTGAAGATACAGAAGGAAATGGATCTTGTAAGGCTCATCAGCACAATTCAAACCTTAAATGAAACCAACAAGCAAACAAATGAGCTGTAATTTTATCAGGTGGAAATAGAAATCGGAGGAGCTACACGTTTGCAGCAGCTGAGACTCCAACTCTTTATATAAGTTGCACAAAGCCACTGCTGCAACTGGAGTGTTTTTCACCTCAGAAGGCAGCAAGTGGGCCCCATGCCCAAGGAAAAGATATCAACACTGCACATTTTTGGAGATATCATTTCCATGCTGTGAAATTGCCTGTGTGCTAGACTTGTATGGATTTCAATGGGAAAGCTCACCATCAAACCACATGGCACCCAGCCCATGCAGAGCTTTGAAGAAGATAGAGATAATGTCAAAATTGCCATGAAAATGGGACCAATGGCTGACAGTACAGCCAAAATTGGTCTCATAATTCATTTAAAATGCTGTTGAAATAATTCTAAAGCTGAAAGAATCTCAACAAGCATCATTATCAGCTGCACTTTTCTTCTAAGAATGAAATACAATGGGAAAAAATTGTATTTGTGGATAACCCACTACTTCAAGGTAAAAGGACCGCAAAAAATTGCTCCATTAGGGTTTGGAAGTTGACACGTTAGGCTACAAAATTCCATGCAAACCACATAGCTCTCATTTGAAAAGCAAAAATCATACACAGTGATTGCATATTCATCCAAGCTCCCCAAACAGCTCTGTTTTCCCTAGTGGTGGACACATCTATGTATATCCCTACATGTGTCTGACTTTCACAGAAAATAGGTGCACTGAACACATTTGCTTCCTCAGCCTTGCTGAAAAACAGGTCCTTGCTGCTGCTGAGGATGATCCTAAATCAGAAGCTCTTGGAAATAAGCACACCAGCTTCCTGCTGGAGGAAGAGACCTCATAAGGCTAGAGAACAGGCCCAGGACACCCAGAGCAGTAACCAGGCTGTAGTACCTGGGAGTGCACCCACTGCTCTGGTGGGCACCCAACCCACCTTTAAAGACACTGCTGATGTGATCAGATCTTTACTTAAAAGATGCCAGTGATACATCCTGTGAGGAGCAGTAACATAAAATTTAACAAGAAAAATGTAAAAGCTGGTGAAACTTTGGCATTGGTGAGGTATAACTGAACATGCATGATCCTGTCAGAGGTTTCCTGTTTGGTCACTGGAAGAGGTCCACAAAAAACCCACCAAAAAGACTACTACAAAGAAGAGTTCGTGCATTGCCAAAGCATCCTGCCTTGCTGTGCTTTATCCTTGCACTGGTAGGATCTGTTTACTCAGGAGATGTTTACCTACCTAATTTTAATTAAAAAAAAAAAAAAAAAAAGATGGTTTTAAAGCCTCAGGGAATAGTTATCAGCTTAAATATATATATTTTTTAATTTAATGGCTATGTTTTTATACTGATTCTTTAAAGTTATTTGAATGCCCATGGGAAAATATAGTAGTGTTATGTTTACACCAGAGATACTGATACAGAGATACCAGAGATACTAATCTACTCAGTACGACCCCAGGATTTCAAACAGGTCATAGAGGAAGCAAAGGACACCAGAAGTTAACCCTGCAGATGTTTGTCTTGCTGGACTCAATTAGTTTATCTGCCGGTGCTCATCTGGCACACGGTTTGGATGAGGATGAGCATTCCCCTGGCCAGGGAGAGTTGCAGCAGTGGCATCCTTTGCACAGGGATGTGTTAGCTGGAGACACTTGTCTTAGGACACAGCCTGAGCAGTATTTTAGTATGCAGTGCTGGCTATCCCCCACCCGAGGTAGTTTTACATAAACATGGAGTTTGTGTGTGATAGTTAATTTAACTAACATGTTTATTTACTGGCCCTCTGTCTTTTTGTGTTTGGAAAAGATGACTCATCTGCTGCTTGATCCTGCCAATGTTTATTCTGCTGGTGGGCTCACTCTTTACTGAGCAATGACAGTAATCCCACTCATATCAGGCCTATTAGCGAACATTCTTTCGCAGGATCAGGTCACAGGCTGCCAGTAAATAAAAATATCCACCTCCTCATCCCCAGCTCAAGTAGAATTTCAAGGATGCTCATGTCATCAGGGCCTGTTACCAGGTCTCAAAAGCACTACATTAGCTTTGTCCAGTTTTCCTAAGGATAACATTTTAAAGGGTACAACATGCAAGGAGGGATTTTGATGTCACTCAGCTGAGCACACAACACTGACGCTCTCACAGGACCTTCTGCCTCATACTCCGTGGTGTTCAGGTTCCTCCAGTGCCCAGAGACACATAAATGTCTAAGACAGTGGCTGGTCAGCAAAGCAGGGAGGTGTCTGAGGCTGAGAGAAATAGAGAGAAAGCAGCTGCATGCACGAAACAAAAATTAATGTTCCTGGGGCCAGGATGAGGATGCAACAGCAAACCCACCATGCCCCAGCCTGGCAGACAGGGCACCTGATGAAGGCAGATTAAAGGCCTCTTCCATCACTACTGCTCCCTGCAAGGGCTGTATAGACAGCCCAGGACTCCCTGTGCTGAGCAGCTATGGAGAGCCAGGGCACATCAAGGGAAACTAATTCAGTCATAGGTGCTTTTCTTTTTTGGAAACCTTTTGGCCTTGTGCCACCTCTGCATCACAGAGTGGTTTGGCTTGGAAGGGACCTCAAAGATCATCTAACTCCAAGGGACCTCAAAGATCATCTAACTCCAGCCCCTCTGCCATGGGCAGGGACATCATCACTAGATCAAGTTGCTCAGAGCCCCATCCAACCTGGCCTTGAACATTTCTTAGGCTGCCCAAGAACATCTAGCCACAACCTGGGAGCAGGAATGGTCAGGGCCTCCCCAAGGAGGCAGTTTACATGTGGTTCCCTGCCTCTGCAAGCTTCGATGCTGGCTGGCCTTTGTGACACCACGCCTCTGTTTATGTTTAATGTGTTGGACACCTGCAATTTCTGTATGACCACTCTTACTCTGGGTTCCACACCAGGGAGATCTAAAAAGTAGGTGTTTCAGTTGTTTTGAAGGCTCACTTGTAATCACAGGAGTCTGGATCTTAATTGCCAGCTACATGAATATCTCTGAAAACTTGTTGCCCTTGAGGATCCATCTGGGCCTTGGCTTTTTGATTACACAGATATTAAGCACCTAAGGACTAAAATAGATATTTAGTACTTGCAGATAACATCATAGGGTTTGTTGAAAAAGACCTGACCAAGATTTAGTAAATACTGCTTTGGTGCACTTTGGTGCTTTCTAAACTTGAACTTGGCATCATGCATCTACCTAGGTATCCTTGCAAATCTTTGCTTTCCAGTGGAGTCAGATTTGGAATGAGTTTTGGTGTCTAAAAAATATCTAAGTCCACCCTGAGACCCTAAGTTCACTAAAGATGCCCCAGCTCAGGCACGAGGCAACCTCCATTCTCCACAAGTCAGACTCTTGTGAGCCAATGTCCCTGGAAGGACTGGCAAAGTCCAAGGCCCAGTCAGGCTCCTTGTAGCTGGAGCACCAATCACCTGAGCACCACAGAGGAGAGGACAGAAAAGGATGCAGAGCACCAAAACAAGCAAGAATTGAGAATAAGTTTCCAAGTTGTGCTGAGTGCAGCAGAGCAATGCCACTCTCATTCCACAGATTCATAGTTTCATAGACTCAGATTTGTAGATTCACAGAATGGTTTAGGATGAAAGGACATAAAATATCATCTAGATCCAACCTCCCTTCCATGGGCACAGAAACCTTACACTAGATTAGGTCATATGCAGAGTCTTTTTTGCTCCTCTCCAGAGGCAGGTTTGGAAAGAGGTTCCTCAGCTGTAGATGGTGCTGGTTTCCAACCCTCAGTCCACTCAGGCAATCCCAGCTCTCACCTCACTTTACCCACTGTATCTCCCACCTCCATTTTTTAATCACAGGCATTCTACTTGCCCCAGAGAAGCCAGCTTTAATTGTGTGGCCCTTGTGCTCAAGCTATATGTTTTCCTTTCTTTCCTTACACCAGAATAGTGCAGTACACAATATGATGGGATAATGTGCTAAAATGAGATGCCAGGGCTGTCTCTTCAGAGGGCTAGGCTGCCAAACATTACACCCACTGGATGTTAAATGAAGGTGATGACTAAGTGTTCACACAGTGGCTTGCTTTTGCTGAAGAGTTTGGCAGACTGACGTAAATTGAAAGCCTGCTGCGGGCAGATTTCCTCCTACTATTTTTGACTTCATGCAAATAAGAATTGCAGGACGCCAGGCAATTTCTACCTGTGACTGACATATTTGGTGTTGACAGTCCCACACTGTTTTTATTTCTAGAAGTGTGGATTTAATGATACATGCAGGGCGGTTGCAGTTTGCAATCTCATCACAGACCCATCTCCAGACCCTCTCCCTCCCCTGTTCCCAGCAGGCTGCATCCAGCCCCATGGCAAGGCTTCCTTCGATACATGCATGGCTATAAAGTGTGGCAGTCTGCTGCCAAACTCCCAAAGAAAACACAACTGTGCAATATTTTCTGCTAACAAGCCTTTGTCCTGTGTATTTCACTCCCTGGTTCTGCTGGATAAAGGCTTCCTGTTAAAGGATTAAGGGGTAGCTTAGTCAAACAAAAATTCTCCATCTTCTAGCTGATCCAGGCAAAGGAAGCATCTACTACTCAAAAACATTTAATCTAAACTGAAAAAGTCTAGAAGGGAGGCTCAGCAGGTGCAGGGCTTCTGGGAGAGGAACAGAGACATCTGCTTTTGGGGTGATGGAGAGACAGTAGAAAGCAGCTGCATGGGGGAGCAGCAAGCCCCACCAGAGTGGAAACTGGAATATGTTGCAAGAATCTGAAGCACCAGGTGCAAGTGTGGCTTCTTTTTCTCAGCTCTGGGTTGTACCCGTGTGCCACAAGAAGTGCTGGGTAGGGATGGCAGTCACGCCCTGGCTATGAAGATCCCAGCCACCTGCAAGCAGCACTGCTCCCCACAAGGCCAGGGCCATGCCTGGAGACAGAGGCTGGCTGCAGATTCCTTTGGAAAAGCTCACTAAGCTCACTCCTGGATAAATAACCTGTGAGCTCTTTTATGCTTGTCTCTGCCAGCCCAGAAATTTTCCTCTTTATATTTTAGTGTACTATCCAGCCACCATGAAATGTGGTGGTCTCACATCATGTTTTCCCCACAGCGACCAGTTATGAAATAAAATCTCAAGGAGGAAAGGAGACTAGGAAGTCAGGATACTAATCAGAATAGGTGACAGGATTAATGTTTTAATTTCCATCACTCTTTCATTCAGACCAGGACTTTCCACTGCAGCAACTGCCCTTTTGGAGGCATGTGCCCTCTCCTTGCAGGTATTCTGCAGCAGATGCCTGTCTTTCCCTACCATGTTTTAAACAAGGCTTAGGCTGTGCCTCCCTGCCTACAGGCATTTGCAACAAGCTATACACACACAGCTTGGCCCGTGGTATGGTGCGGACTGCAGCCCAAAACTCAGGGGTTGTTTGAAGGCAACTGGAAATCCATACATCTAACATACAGCCTCAGTCTCTAGCAGGGTCTCCATGCAGGACTTAATACAGAATAATTTTTGGTGATTTTCCTCCTAAAGTGTTTGAACTGATGTGAGACTGTTTCCTACAGTGATGTTTTGGGTTTAGGAGGAGAAGGGAAGCTTCAAGATTTTGTGGGATAGTGGTAACTAATGGATGGTGGACAGATCTAAACTTGGGGAATCTTGTCCATAATGCCTGTGGAAAAGCGTCTCTGAATGAACTATCCTTTGACAGTTATTTAGTAGTGCACATATATTTGTGGGAGAGAACTTGAAAGAGACCTGAGGGCCACAGCTCCTAGCAGTATGAAGCATCCTGGGTACCTCACCTCTTAATCCATAATTCACACAGTCTCCTGAGACATCTTATCCCTACTGGAGCAGAAAAGCAGGTGCTAAATGAGGCTGAAGGTGCTATTATTGAAGTGCCTCAGAAATTGCTTCAGCTCTAGCCTTGTGACTGGCACAATGTCCCATGATGCTGTATTCACATTGATATGTTCACAAGACCACCTTTTTCCTTGAGCATTCAGATTCCACTGGGAGAGAACAAGTGGAACAAAAATGAGAAAACTCATGAGCTGAGATAAAGATAATTTAATAGGTTAGGGAAAGAGAAAAAGAACCAAGTGGGATTACTCACCCTGTCCCACAGGCAGACCATCTGAGCAATGACCACCTTGGAAGCCAAAACTCCATTGTTCACTTCCCCTACCCATTTTTATTCCAGAGCACATCAATCACTATACAGTATGGAATATCCCTTTGGCCAGTTTGGGTCAGTTGTGGCTCCCAGCTCCACCAGAAAGCTGAGTCTGACTTCACCAAGTGCCAGCTGGCTCTAAGCATTGCAGTTCAAACAATGGACATGGGATTTCAGTACAAATACTCCATGTGCAAAAGAGACACACAAAACACCTAATGGTCAAACTACCTACACCTGGATGTGGCTAAAATGTCTCTTTTATGGTTACATATTTCATAGGAGAGCTCTTTCCTATGTGTTTGAGCTTTAAACCTAAAACTGTGAATCAGGGCTACAATACTGGGACCAAAGACCTCAGTAAGTGTTTGTGTTCACAGTCCAGCTTCTATTTACATTCTTCCCTTCAGCAGCTGACATCAAAGTGGGAAGAAGAAGTGGGTGGCCGGTCCCAAGGCCAGTACTAATAATTGCAATTTGGAAGCTTCATAAGAATATATCCCACATTTAAATAGAGCATCCAGTGTTTTGCAGCTCTGCTACACTACTTAACTGTGAGTGCTAATTTAACTAAAACGGGTTGAACTGTTTTTTATAACAAACATCCAGTTTGTTTAGGACTCTATGGACTTCCAAGAGCTCATGAACAAAAAAACCCTGCAATGAATCCATCATGGTGATTATTTCTTCTGAATGACCAAGTTAAAGTTTCTTTGAGAAAACAGAATATCATCTGAGCCCATTGCATCCACCCCACCAGTGAGAAAACAGCTGCATCCTACCACCATGTCTCTGCCCATCTGTGCAGACTGTCTCTCTATTGGCATTCAAAGCATTGGCAGGAATCAGACCACCTTGCCTCAGCTATGCTCACTAGCTCATAAACTTAATTGTTTTGTTCTCTCCTAGAGACTGTTGCTTATTTTCCATGCTCCTTGCATCCACACATAGACAGTGCATTAATATTCTTCATCTTCACTTGTTGAGCTACTCCAGCTTCAGTCTTACCTGTAGGCTGGAAGTACATGTCAGATTATTTGAGTTAGGTGAAAATTTCTCCTCCTTCCTTCACGCTAAATTTTATTGCTATCCAATAATGGTTTTGAAACTGGGGGTTTAGTACCCTGTTCTGGCAGAATAACATTAAACACAAATTGCTTGTATCTAAAAATAATACATGGTAGTTCTGTTCTCTCTCAGAAACTGGCACACTGCATTCTCTAAAGGGAGATGAATGAATATGTGAAAACATTTTCAGAACAGTTGCTTGTCTATAACAAGTCAATATGAAATCAAGATAGAATTTATACTTTGTCTCTTCATAAACACTTACTGAGCTATATTCAAACATGTTTCATAATGAACCTTCTGGAGGCCCAAGAATTAAGTACTTGATCTTTCTAGAGTTTTCTATTCAGAAGGAGAAAACACACTTGAATATTCATCTCCTGGACAGCAGGCACAGATTACAACCCTTGCAGAATTTCTTTGTGGAGTGAGGAAATCATGATTGTCTTTTATTTTGCTCTCAATTTCCTGAGAAAATTCTGGGCATAGCAACACATAGCAACTTCCTACAAGGAGTCCTGCACATTAATTAGATCTCCTGAGAGTCATCTCTCCCAGTCTGAAACAAGAGCCAGACATTTGCCAAATGACATCATTTCACCATGAGCAACTTCTCTAAGCCTCACTCTTGTCAGCCATGACAAAAATTGTGGTCATGCCTTGACCATTTCTCCTCAAGACTGCTTGAACCTTCTCTTCATTTTCACCTTTTTCCTTTGCAACCTATTTCAAATGTCTCAGTAAATCATCTGCCTCAACAGCAGCACCTCTGAATTCTTCTATCATCTTCCTTTGGCCTCCTGCATTAAATTTCAGCTACCTGTGCTTCCCTTCAAGGATCCCCAGAACACTGCCCTGACTTATAGCACCCACTGCAGTATTTCCTGCCCTCATTTCCACTCAGCCAGTACATCACACCTTGGTGATGCCTTTATCGTCTCCTACATGCTCCAGGCCATCCTCAAAAATGGAATTCTTCTTGTATGCAGTTTAGAAAGGAATGCACTTCTGTTTTCATACATCCTTTCTCAAAGCACATCTTCCTCTGTGGACATGTGCTCCTCCAGCCCTTCCTATCCATTATGATATTCAGACAAGGTTAAATATTGCCAAAACAATCACACTCTGGCCACTAATGAACATCAGGCATGTATTTACAATTTATTGGTTAAAAGCCCCCGGTGGCAGGAGCATTTTTCAAACCCTGTACAGCATCCACCTACTTCTAGACATCAATGACTGATAAAACTAAGAGGCCTGGAATAAAGTCCTAGTTTCCTTCTTGTTCTACAAATGGAGTCTGGTTACATTTTTAAAAACAAAGTCCCTTCCAAGGTACAAAAAGACTCAAAGTGAAGATCAGGTTTTCCTGAGAACTCCTCTATCCTTAACTGACTGGCTGAGGATACACCCAGGACACTTTTTTCTCCTTCTCTGCATATTTAGAAGTGTGTGAAGAGAGCATAAAAAATAGAATAGGTTGTATATTTTCTATAATGCAGTATTACCTGGCAATTTGGCAAAGATCTGGTGAGAAATTATTGCAACCATATCTCACACTTAAGCCAATAACTGCAAATTCACAGGCATCATAGAAGCAGAATTGGATTTATGCAAATAATATCTCTCTTTTTCCTTTGGCCTTAGCTACTGTGGCTAAAGGGAGCACTTGCTTGTTCTGTTTCTGAAATTTTGGGTTGACCCTGCCTGGATTCCAGGTACCCACCAAAGCCACACTATCACTCGTCAGCTGGGCAGGGGAGAGAATATATAACAAAAGGCCCATGGGTTGAGATATGGATGGGGAGAGGTTACTCACCAGTTCTTGTCATGGGCAAAACAGATTCAACTTGGGAAAATTAGTATATTTTGTTACCAATAAAAATCAGAGTAAAATAATGATTAAAAAAATCTTAAATCTCTTTTCCCCCACTCCTCTCTTCCTCCCAGGCACTATTTACGTCTAGGTTCTCTCAGTCTTCCCCCGAGCAGTACAGGGGGACAAGGAATGGGGGCTGTGGTCAGTTCGTTGCACCTTGTCTTGGCTACTTCTTCATCCTCGTTGGGAGGGCTCCTCACATTCCTTCCCCTGCTCCAGCACAGGCCCCTTCATAGGATGCAGTCCATCAGGAACAGACCACTCCAATGGGAGTCTCTGGCAGGGTTACAAAGAAACCTGCTCCAGCCTGGGCTTCTCTCTTCAGGGGTCTGCAGGTCCCTGCAGGAGCCTGCTCCAGCACAGGCTTCCCATGGAGTCACAGTCTCTTTTGGGCACCCACCTGGTCCAGGCATGGGGTTCTCCAGGGGCTGCAGGTGGATCTTTGCTCCACCATGGACCCCCATGGGCTGCAGGGGCACAGCTGCACCACCATGTTCTGCTCCACAGGCTGCAACGAAATCTCTGCTGCCCCTCCTTCCTCACTGACCTTGGGGACTGCAGGGTTTCTCTCACATATTCTCATTCACCAAGCAGTTTTTTCTCTTTCTTAAATACATTATCCCAGAGGTGCTACCACAGGCTGATGGTCTCAGCCTTGCCCAGCAGCAGGTCTGTCCTGGAGCCAGCAGGTGTTGGCTCTGTCAGAAATGAGGGAAGCTTTCAGCAGCTTCTCACAGAAGCCACCCCTGTAGCCATCCACTACTGAAACTCTGCCACAAAACCCCAACACAGCAGTATTTTCTACTTTTCCCTTTTCTGCATCAGCTGTTTGATTTGCACTCAGAAACTGTATTTTCCAACAAATATAAATTATGCACGTAGTCTGTGTCATCTCTGTTTTCATGAAATATGTTTGCCTTCTCTCTCTGCAGTGAGGCTTCCATGTATGCAAAAAGAGACTTGCATATGAAAGAACACCTTCCAGACACCAAGCTCCTGACTCCTGGCTCCTTTCAGGCAGGACTCACTCTGCTGCACCCCTCTTCACCTTAGTCTGAGCCTGATGTGCTCCCAAAGATCGAAGACCTGAGTTTGGATCCTTCAAGGAAGTGCTTTAATTGCCAGTGGCACGGGTGTTGCATCTCATTGTGCAGTCTCCTGTGCCTCACTGACAAAATGCCTACTGGTGCCAGTTCCCAAGAGCGAGAGGTGATGAAAGGGTCAGTACGGGACTTTTGCCAACACTTAGATCCTATCTAGGGATCACAGCAGCTCAGTTACATCAAGGCTCAACGAGCTTGTGAGTTCCTGTAAGCAAAACCTAGGCTTCAGGGTTGCAGTAACGTAGACATCTACAGGTTGAAATGGGATTTGAACACAAGATTTGCAACAAGTATTAGTGTCATTGTTGGACAAGGCACTCAAAGCAGAGGTACAACTTTTGAAGTACTCAGTGTCCAACACTTAAAAAACAAAGTAATTGCACACATAAATGGCCAGAATTAGCCAGGTTTCATTACTTGCTGCGTTATGTACCAATGCAACACAACACCACAGTTATTGTATTTTACAAATTGGTCCCTTCATAGTTGTTTCAGAGAGATGTAGGCTAATGAAGCAACATTCTGTCATGGACTCAAGAGGCAGAAGTGTCTCTGTAGATATTTAAACAAGACCCTTGCTTAAAGAATTAATGTTGCTAGAATAAAATGAAGATTGGAATAGGCTCTCTAGTCAAGCAATTCTTCCTATTACAGCTATCCTTAAGAAATAAAATGTATGTTCCTAAAGCTGTGCCTTCTGGAAATTTTGAGGAAATTTATGTGTCTTAAAAGTCAATGTCCTTAGACATCATTAGACACAGAAGAGAAGCACAATACAGAACAGGAGACTCTCTCAATTAAATGCTTAAAATGTTCCAGTAACAAACTTCCCCACATTAAACTAGATGACAACTAACTGAGGCATTTCTGATGTGTTCTGCTGCTTTGGTGCTACACAAGCAGAGATTTTCTCTAGAAGGTACAAGATCCAGCCTACAAAGGCTACTTTGTGCACTGTTTCTCTGAAACAATTTTTATAGCAATTACTTGGAAATTATAGCATTTGCCATTAGCTTCAGTGGAACCAAGCTTTCATCCATTTCATATCAGCTTTAGGGGTGGGTTTTTTTTCTGTTTTCCTATTTCTGGCATGATCCAGTTCAAAGAGTAACTGCAATCTGTCATCTGTTGGTGGATACTGAATGTATACTGGGGGGAGGCAGGGGAATTAAAAAAACCCCAACCTGCCAAGTCTTTCAGCCTTCAACCTCTGGTGCAGTACAAGGTTTACAAGATGATTTAAAATCTGCATGTGTAGGAAATAAGGAAGATGGGCTGACTCTATACAGAAAATGGGTTTGGGATAGACATAGATTGATGGCTTTGTGACAATGACACTAAAGTTAATAGCTGATACAGGCAGACAACAGAGTCTATTTTAAATTTCAAATTGAACTCTGTGTCGCTCACAGCATCATACTGACCATTCATTGCTAGACCTAATTTTTTTCTGCTAATGACTGCAAGAAGCAGAATAGACAATGATGTGCACTGCTGAACACTTGGGAAATGGCATTAACTGATTCTCCCCCCTCTTCCTGTTTTTAAAACAACTATTTAATGATTACTAGGGGTGGCTATCCTTGAACACTCCTGAAGGGTAAAAATTAGTCACTCCTCTGGGGACATCTCTGTCGCCTTTCCTTTCCTCTTTGGAGACAGAAGGGGTGTAAATTGTGCTTGCAACAGACTGGGAAGGCTGACACTGCTAAAATATAAGACCTTGACAAAAACCCTGGAGATGATGTATCACTAATCTCCTGGGCAGTTGCACTCCACATTCACATTTGCACACTGCAGATAATTCCTGCCTCTCAAAATCCTGAACCCAGACTTCAAATGCAAATTGTCTTGGAGGTGGAAATGGAAACCTGCATGCACTGAGACAGTTATTCACATATTTAAATAAAAAGCTCACAAACAAAAACCAAATCCTTCAGTCCTTGGGGAAGCAGTTCTTTGCTGTCTGTTTCTGTCATAAATCCCTCCTGTTTATCCAACCTGCACTTCAGAGACAGAGATACCCATTGGTTTTGTACATCTCCACTCATACAAATAGAGATCTGCACCTGGCATACCAGTATATGGTTGATCACCAGAGATTTGACTTTATTACATGTCAGTGAAACGCCTTTAAAAAAGCACACCAACCATAATACAAGGGGCTTCTGAAATTTTATACGCATGGCACATGGAAGCAACTGAATTTGGGAATAAATATTTGTGCCTTAGACCTGAACACAGCCAGCACACATGTGTGAAGTGAGTGTTGCTGGCCTTATGCTACAAGTCTGGGCTCTGTCACTGAAACCACTTTTCTTGATAGGTGCTGTGGCAAAACTGTAATAGTACATACCATTATTTGCTTGAAAACTGTATTTCAGAGTATCAACAGACTGAAATTTCCACCTGTTTTCCTTCTTCCAATCTGTGACACACATTTGCACATAAGAAGGATTTACTGTTTCTCTGCCTAATTTTTTGTTCAACAGGAAAACTAGCTGAATTGTTTGCCTCAAGTTCAAAAGCTCTAATATGAAAGCCACATACTTTTTGCTTGAATTAATTCCAACTCCTCTGGCTTTGTAAAACTAATTGAAATTATAGCTGTCTCTGCATCTTCTTGCTATAACAAATTAAAATAAATAAATCTAATTGTGTGTGGCTTTACTACCATGAATCTCCTTATTACTTTCCAAATGGTATGGTGGGGGCTCATAGTTTCGATAAAATCTAAGCTACCAAATTATTTTGATGAGAAATTGGGACTGTGGCAATCAAAAATACACATGTAAAAACCCATTTTCTTTTCTGTGAGGAAGAGCAATGCCTACGTTCTATTTCCATCCTTTCCTTCTGTCTTCTGTGAGTGCTGAAGGGTATTTTAGATGTATTTGCTCAGACTATTCAAGATCTTTAAACAAAGTTCTTGTCCCTAGAAAGTAATTGAAAACTTCCACATCAAACAAAAATATATGTCATGTGTGTAAATGCTATAAAAGTAACGTGGTTTACATGACAATCTAATAATGGTACTTCATATCTGAGGCAAAATGTGATCAGATATTGTACATGCTTAGATCAGCCCTCTGTGTTCTCTTGGCGCAGACTGTGACGCCAGCTCACGCTGCAAGGCACGCAAGCACTACATCTGCTTTTGTTACAAGATGGGGAAGGGTGGATAAATAGCAACACATGTCCCATTAGTAAAAGGCTTCCTAAGTTCTACTGAGTCAACAGACTAATCAGGTATCAGCTACTTCACTAGGAAATGGATCAAAACTAGGAGTGGGAGGCTTGGGATGTGAGGTGGGGAAGCAAGGAGTGAGACACAAGGTTCATTTCTTTGTCTGCTCCAATTTCACTCCTCTAATAGAAATTCCATGAGGGCATGTTGACCTGAAGAGGAATTTCAGCAGCAAATCATCACAAAGAAGACACGAAAGCCTCTTTAATACTTGCAGGTGGCATCCAGTCCAGGTGCTCTCTAATGAGCTCATTATCTGACAGTCATCTGATAAACATGCGTTACAACTGTACAGTCTAAAGGTGGAAAAACCAGTCAGGTCAGCTCAGTCCACCTCTTGCTCTGTCCATCCAAGACAGGATTATTTTTGTCCTTTTCCCAACATTTTGTTTAGCCTTTTTGTGCTGTTTAGTTTTTAAATTTCCAGGTAACCCAAGAGGTATCTTCTGAACTGCAAAGGAAATTAGTATTTCATATCGTGATGCTAAGAGGTTTCCCTCTTCACTACTGTTTGGTGAAATAAGTTCTTGTTTACCTTCTTTCACTGTTCTATAGTACAGCCACTCCAAAACACTCTAATTACCTCCCCTTTGCATCTACCTAAGAATTTCTATATTTTAGCCTTGTCTTTGCCTTCACAAGTTATTCTAATGACTATTCATATGGGACCACATCAGTATTCTTCTCCTTTACTGTGTTAGTATCATGCTGACCCCAAAACTAATTCAGTATTTCATGCAGAATTACAGTATCAGAATCATTGGTTTCAGAGCAAGAGCTCTCACACTCCCTACTATGCAATATTTGGACATGCACCCTAAAACTGCAGTGGCTTTTTTCCTCTCACTGTATCCAAACTTATCTCTTTAATGCAGGTTTAAAATGTGCTTTCCCAAATCCCCGTTTTATTGACTCTTTTATGGGAGGGTGTACCCACCCAAGTTTTGATTGTTGCTGTTGTATTTCTTTGTATTTTCCCATTAATTTTTGAAAGTCTTCCCTCTCCAACAATGTATTTCAGTAACAGACTGACTTAATGAACTTCTTCTCCAGGACTGTAAATACCACTAAACTCACTACATGGCTATAAAAACAACTGCATTACTATCCATTGCTACCAGACAACTTTAAAATCATGAATCTTTCTTTCTATTTAGGCAAATCTGAATCTATTTTTCAAGCAAGATTTCATGATAAGCACACAGAGTCGTAGGAGAAAATTTTAGCACAGACATGTATGTAATTCATTCCATTCATCCACTCAATTTCAATTCTGGAACATTGCTCTGTAGCTTTGCAGTAGGTGCAGTCAGCTGAAGGTGAGAGCCCAAGGGGCCAAGAAAGGCTTAAACACATCAGGTCTCTTACAGGATTTAGGCAGAAAAATCGCAGTTTCTAAAACTTCATCAGTGATTATCAGATACCATCAGCTGCTGGGAACATGTGCAGAAGCAGAACTCCAAGCATGCTGAACATGGAGGCATTCAATGAGCTGCGATGCTCCCAGAGTGAAGGAGACACATGGAAACTTGCCTCTGCTTGTTTACCTCAAACACACTGATGGTCTTTACCGTGCCTAGTCTGGTCAGAAGTGCTGGAAAACACAGATTCTGCTTCTGATTAAATTCAATCAATACAAACACTGTTGCAAATTATTCTTCACAGTGCTATTTTTTGTACCGTATAGTGTTGTAACAGATGCCAGAATGTGTCCCTTATGCAATATGAGCAAAAAAAAAAAAAAAAAAAAAATCCTTAAAATTTACACAGAAGTTAGCCAAAGTTTTACTATATTGTATTTATTTAGCTCTTACGTTCCACTTATCCATTACATTTTGTTAAATAAAAACTGGCATTGGTACCTATTTCTCTCCCTTTAATTAATATCCTGCAATATGTATCAGTCAGCATGTTATTTTTGCCTATGGAATAACCTTCCAAGTCAGGAAAACCCCCTTCTCTTTTAAAGCTGATGCTCTACCACATCAGACTTCATTCCTATTACATAAGGGGATGAGAAAACTACTCACTTCCTTCCCCAAATATTATTTCTCCACTGATGTATTTGTAAATTCCTTTATAATCCCCCATTTCATCTGCTAGCATGAAGCAATTAAACTAATCCATGCTCTGTCAACCCCAGCCGACTCACAGTGTCTTTGGGTGCCACTGTACATTTTTTGAAGTTTTTTTTTTCAAATTCAAGTCTTCAAACCCATATCTAGAACTTACTGTTTTCCACAGCAGTAGTCAGCTACCCTTCAGCTGTAGTGTTTTTGGTTTCTGCAGCCATCCTGCACACCAGTGAAATCTTGGTTCCTATAGAATCCTTGTCCTCCTCCCTCTAAGTCTCTTCTTTAGTGATTAATTTGAGTAGCATTTGTGCAAAAGTTCCAGCTTCTCCATCAGTAAGAAATACTACAATCAGAGAAGGGTTTTTCTGTGGAACAACAAGAATAGTCATGGATTTGTCCTTGCTACCTCTATGGAAGACAAGAGGCAAGGTAAGGTCTTTGTATCTTTCCTGAGCAAGGCATAAATCTGCTCTAAACTTTTGTCTTTTTATGTAAGAAAAACCTTGGACTTTGCATACTGCCTAGCAGGCATCTTCTGTGCTGTGACACTGAACCACACATTCAATATCCTTTATTTTGTCTACAAAGGTGTTGGATTAATGGTCGTATTTTAGATGTGTGTTAACTTGAGACTATTTCCCACAAATACGCTTTAAAGTATTATGCATCGTAGCCCTACTCTCCCAAGTCCGATCTGGGGAAAACAAAACCCCAGGAAATCCAAACCCCTCAAATATTTTTGTATTCCCAAAATATAATGGTCATATTGTCTGTTATTTGCTTTTGGAAGTATCAGCATGTTTATCCAGCTTCTCCCTTATCAAAAATATAAAAATAGCCACAAAATCATAGAATTATTTAAGATCGAAAAGACCTTTATGATCATTGAGTCCAACCATTAGCAAGCAGCTAAACTTATTACCAGTCACATGAAAATGATGCTCCAAGTGAAGAGGGGGCACTTCCAGAGCCAGTCAGAGCTCTGTGTGTTCAGGAGGGACAACAAGACCAGCACTGTTGCAGGCAGCAATTCTGGGAGCCACCAGCCTCATGAGGAAAGTAGGAGAGTGCCAGAAGCATGAAGATAATTTCAATGATATATAATGTTATAACAGTCAATGATACATAAACCAAACACTGAAACATCTGTGTTTGTATTGCTTTACTGGTATTTGTAAATACCTCATCTGGTGCCATTTCATTAAGCAGCAGTTAAAGTTCAGTTAGCATTAATAAAATATTAAATTTCAGCACATGTTGATGCCCAGTAATTCATTCAAGTGTTTCACAGCTGAGGAAACACTTTTCTTAAAACTGTCATCTTCTTGGCCAAATCCTATACTTATTCATGGACCCGATAGCATTTGAAATATATTCACTACCCTTACTTTCATCTGTGTAAGTCAAAGTGTATGGTTTTGGTCCAACACCTTGCACAGTCCTGTTTTGACAGTATTTACTGTGATAATTTACAATTCTGTCTATTTCTGCACTTTGCAATTTAGCTACTGCCCATCTATTCTGGTAGTGGTTTGAAGTGTTTCTCTTCTCTCCCAGATGAAAAATTGTAGTACAGACCTTGGCTACTGCTAGCAGCTGCACAGAGAAAGCCAAATATTTCATTACCCAGACATCTACTTGCAATAGCTACACTCTTACTCACATTTTAGGTTACTTCTGTACTGATTGTGTGTAATAAAAAAGTCACCAAACTTTAAACACATTTAGCAAGAAGACCTAAATGCCATATGAGCTGTACAGTGAAGTCTAATCTCCATTTTCTGTAATTGTTCTAAAAATAGAACAAAAATATGAAGAACTGAGAATTTTACACTTATAATTAAAGATGATGGTGCCATTTCAGAATTCACTTCAAATACTTCTTCCAAGCTGCTTGCATGCTTATGCATGCACTAAACAGAAAGCTGCCACTACAGCTTGCAAATAAATAAATGCATTTGCATTTTAAACCAACAACAAAGTAAAATATCTACTTGCAGTCATCTCTTTTTCAAAAGCTTTGCATACAAAATAGTTATGACTCTCACAGCTGCAGAAAAAACTATTATTTCTGACCAGCAAATCTGCCATAGTGCTGAATCTAATCAGGGAACAAACAATTCTGCTGCAGCCTTTGCCACAGAGGAAGAGATCTACTCTTGCATTTGTCACATAAGAGAAAAGAGAGAGATCTTATTTGTAAGGTGTTTTGACATCTACTCATATCTAGGTATTGGCATACATACAGACTATTTTCAACACCAGGTAAACTAATCAAAATCAGCATTTTCTACCACTTTATTTTCAACTGTGAGAGTGGATGTTTATTCATCTGTTAATATTTGCAGCCTTTAAAAAGAGAAACAAAAGACTTCTACCTATTTTCAGGGAAAAGTCACATAATGTTAACCAGGTGTGATCAGATCTGTTACCAGTGATTTTTGCCTCAAGGAGTAGACAAATGGGTTGAAATTATTTTAAAAAAACCCAGAATTAAAGAGGCTCATAGAACAACAAAACATCTATGAGGGTGATGAGACACTAGAACAGGTTGCCCAGAGAAGCTGCAGATGTCCCATCCATGGCAGTGTTCAAGGTGAGGCTGGAGGGGGCTCTGAGCAACCCTGTCTGTGGCAGAGGTGTTGGAACAAGATAGTCTTCAGGGTCCCTTCCAACACAAACCATGCTATGACTCTGAAAATCACTGTAACATTTTAAAATCCATGAATCTCAAATCAGTAAGTGTTCAGTATCAAACCATCAGACTGCAAAAAAGGTAGCTTTTAAAAAGATACCACTTAACTGGAGGTTTCAGGAGGTTCTGAACAAGTCTTTCACACAGAACTACTATGGAGTCTGAGTGGGCATGGAATAAAAGTTAAAAGTGATACACAAGAAGCAAATACTAAGGATGGCTAGTTTTCAAGATGACAAATACTAAGATTAAAGTGCCCTATGGATTCATACTGAAAATGTTGTTTTATGTATCTTTTCATCTGGAGAAAGAGATACATAGTACACTGGCAGCATCTGTGGATAACAGAAATTTTCAAGATTATTTTCCAGGCAAACGAAAATTGTGAGGCACAACAAAGTTAGAACAAAGAAAGATGAAGGTTTATGATTAGCTCAAAATAATGAATGGCTCATACATCCAAAGATTACTATGACTGATAGTTATACGGAAAAGATTAATGAGGTCTTTATTCAGTGAATTCTGGTAAACAAAACCAAAGTATTCCAACCATACATAAATACAGAAATACACCACCAGCCACAGTTGTTCAGAGCCAGCATTACTTCATGAGGGGCAAGTCCTGCTTGATGAACCTGATTTCCTTCTACAACAGCGTAACCCACCTAAGTGATCTAGGAAAGCCAGCAGATGTGATATTTTCAGACTTCAGCAATGCTTTTGGATAACGTCTCTCACAGAAGCCTTCTGGACAAAATGTCCAGCACACAGCTGGATAACTGAGTTACATGACAGGTAAGCAACTGACTAATGGGTTGGGCAAACAGCCTTACAGTTAATGGGGCACATCAGACTGGTGGGGTTCTGTAGGGCTCCATCCTTGGCCCTTTGCTCTTCAATGCAGGACTGGAAGGAATACGAAGTAAGTTTGTGGATGACACTGAACTTGGAGGAGCTGTCAACTGCCTTGGGGTCAGAAAGGCCCTGCAGAGAGACCTCCACAAATTAAAGGGCTTGGCAATCTCCAACTCTGTGAAGTTTAACAAGGGCAAGTGCCAGATTCTGCACCTGGGATGGGGCAGCCCTAGCTGTGTGCATGGACTGGGGAATGAGAGGCTGGAGAGCAGCACTGTAGAAAAGGACCTAGGGGTCCTGGACAATGGCAAGTTGAACATGAGCTAACAGTGCCCTGGCAGCCAGCAGGGCCAACCCTGTCCTTGGGGGCATCAGGCACAGCATCACTGGGCAAGGGAGGGGATTGTCCTGCTCTGCTCTGCACTGCAGACAATATAAAAAATACTGCAGACTGAATTGCAGTATCTGATTGCTGATTTCAGCCCTCTAGCTTTCTGGAGTAACTTTCCTGTCTTGCAAGTTTTCCTCTCTGTAGAGGCATTTGCACTGCAGAAAAAACTGCATATAAACACATGTTTTTATAATTTTTAATTGTATTATAAAGAAAATCCAGAAAAACTTAATTTATAAAACCCCCTATCTGCATAGCAATCCAAACTACTACTGTAAATTACTGAGGCTGTACAGCAGAATTGCACGGGTAAAACTTACACAATGAATCTTCTACAAAAACAAACCCAACACCATTTACATTACTAGAAAATGACCCAACATTTTAATCTTTGAGACTTTTCAAACATTACTGCAATATAATTGTGGAAAAACATGTTACTTCTTAGAAGAAAGTTAAGTATATCCAAACAGATTTGTATCTTCTTCAGTTACAAAAATTGATTCTCGTTGTTCAGTTCCTCATTGCCAACATGGCATTTATGTCCCAAATAAGATTTCGTAACTGATCCATGATCTGCTTCAGCTGCTGATTCTTCTGTTTCAGTTTCTGTGGGAAGAGTTTATTAGAAGTTTTTTTGTGATCAGTTCAAACAGTGCACTCAAAAATTCAACAAAAGTTACAGTTCTATGAAATGCTATATAAATATTTTTCTCAGTTGTCAGTGAGCACTATTAATAGGATAATACATCCCCTTTTAAAGCACATTCTAAAAATACAAGAAAGCCTCAAAAGTTAAGGACCATTGCAAGAGGGGGAATGCTGTTTCATTTCACTGCAGCCTTTTATCAAAACACTTGACACCTTCAAAAGCTGGAGGCTCATGGGGATCAGTCCTCACTTTGTAAAGTCTAAAACAGAGCATCCTAAGCTGGAAGAAAAAGTTTGAGGAGCAGGTAAATTTATGTGAATATGTGTTTTATAAATCTGGTTTAGAGAAAAATGAGGCATTAACAGTACAAGTTTGAACAAAGCACAGGGTATAGGTGAAGCAAATCAAACTTTTGCAGCCCTTCTGCTATGTAGGTCAACTGTGATGCTTTAAGAGTCCTGTCTTGAAAAAGGTTTTCCCAAGCATGTTGAATTCTTTAAAATAATATATTTGTTTTTGCAAACTGCAGAAGCATTTGGAGGAACAGGAGAACAGCAAACTAGCTTTCATTTGGTTGCATAGCCAAAACTTAGAAATTATGTCTCTACAGAAGAAAGATCAGGGCATCAAGACATCACACAATTTTCCCTAACCTTTCATGTTTCACAATAATACCCATATTTATTGTTTCATTTATTCATTTTCCTGCTCAAATCAAAGCTGTTGAGAACTAAGTAAGGTTGTTGTTAACAGTACACATTTTGTCCTTCATTTCATTCTGATTTGATAAGATGTCAGCCTTCCAACATTAGAGATCAAACTATTTATTCATTAGGGAAGTCTGGAGTTCCAAGTAAACTAAAAGCACAGGAAAGACTTGCTTCCATCAAAACAGAACAAAATGTTTCAGGTTTGATGTAACTTTGTTATTTGCACTACACAAAAGGCAATACATTAAAAGCATGACTCAAATCAGTAATACAACCAAAGTTACTGGAACAGAGAGAAAATGAAACAATATCCTGAAAATTAGTCTCCTGAATTTTGATGCAGTCAACACAACAATATTTTTAAATTGCCAGCTGGTCAGCTGGGAAAGAAGTCCACAGAAAAAAAGGAAGCCTATTCACTTGAGATCTGTAAAAACAGTCTGCTGTAATATGGTAATTAGGTTAGATTCCAGGGGGAACATAGTAAGGGAAATGCTCCTAAATACAGACTTAGTGGGACACTGGAAGAGACAACAGTCAGATCTAGACTCCCAAGAAGGATACAAAAACATATCCAGGACAGTTCATGTGCACTAACATGGAATTCCTAACCAAGCATTTGACAGCCTAAAAAGTGTTTTAAAGGTAAGTATGCGCATTTATCTAATGCTTTCTTTCTTTTCCATTTGTTGATCCAAGACTTCACAACATACAGCAGAGATTCAGCTTCTAATGACAGAATTGCAAGGGTCTTCCTACCAAAGGTCATAAATGCAAGATCCTGATGCTTGAGAAAGCAAAGAGGGATGAGATAAACGAGCATGTTCATACCTGTGGCATTTTTAAACATAACTCTGTTTGCCATCCTCAACATCCAATCCTAGAGAAATCAGTGACTGTTACACCAAAACTACTAGTTTAATGCAAGCTGTAACTCCCTCATACTGAGGCCATGCCGTTTCAAGGTATTTCAAAATCTTCATCAATGGAAACAAAGGCTGAACCATTGATGATGGTAATTAAAGTCACAGACAGAAATAAGAACCATTGACATCTGAGAAGTAGGCTGTTTTCTCCCTTCATCCATGTCTAACTGTACTGCTAAGTACTGTTACTCACATGAACTTCGTTTAAGTTATGCCCGAAAGACTCATTCTGTAATACTGCTTTACTTTCTTGGGAAAGTATTATGACACTGTAAATTGTTTAATCTTTATTTGATGCTGCTAGACAGGGAACATTCAAACTGGATTTCATCTGTTTTCAAAGCATCTGTAAGGACAAGAAGTATAAATTTGTTTATTTATCTGAAGATAATTTTAGATCCTCATCTTTACTGAAGAGCTAATTTCTTAGTTCTCCTACTTTTTCTGGAGCCAGAAAAAACATCTAAGATGAAGCACCATCCCTGGGGTTGCTAGGCTGTTAAAAGAATAAAGAGAGAAGAAAAAAATCTACTTCAGAGAGCACAGACTCCTAATTGAAATGCATACAGTGATCTTTGTTACTGATCTTTGACAGGCAGTGGTCCACACCACAAAGTACTACATAATTAATATGTTCTGCACCACTGGAAGTGCTGGCCTCTGCTTAAGACTTTGCTGAGCCAGTAAGAACATCTCAACTCAAGCCTAACCTTGAAAAGATAGGTGAAATGGCCTTCTTGGGAAATGGGCAAATCTTTAAGCAGCTTTTGCAGCAGTGACAAATTTTCATTTGAACAGATTGCTTGCGAGTTGTCTCCCACTCTTTCCTCCTTCTGTTGGAATAACTTAGTTGAACTCTAGACTGCTTCTCAGGATTAACAGTTGTATGAAACAAGAAAAAGTACTTCATCCTACATACATGCTACAGCTTCTGACTTTATCTGTTTTTAGATAGCACAAGGAAAATCTACAAGGCAGTTTATAATGAGTTTAAGAGACCTAAATTCAAGTTACATCAGTCAGGCCTGTTTTTGTTAGTTCCTCTCTATCAGAAAAGTGATCTGACTGAAAACCTACCCTCGGGGGTTTTCTTTGGTGATATTAATTTTCAATGAGGCGCATTTCGACTGATCTTGCAAGTATTATGGCCATTGTGATGGGGCTGGCAAGGACTGCACCTTCCAGTAGCCAGTGAGACTTTAGCTGGCTTAGGTCTAGTAGGTCATTTATGAAAACATTTACTGAAGTACATAAATGAACCCACATAAATGAAACAAAGTGGGAGAATCATAATATACCTCCAGAAAACAGCTGTCTTTCAAGGAAGAAAAGCTGCCATAAAGAACCTGCCATGTTTCATACAGATTTGGGTTCAGTAGGACACAGTAATTGCAACTTTGATTGAAATAATTTTTTTATGAGAAGTTATTTTTGCTTCACTTGCATTTCATTAGAAATCAGTGCTGTCTAGACCAATTCACAACTTACAACCAGAGACGTATCAGAACCTTCCCTTGCACAGTGTTCTTGTCTCTCTCTTCATTTTATGCTCATGTATCCATCAAATTTTAAAACTAAAACATCGCTATGAGTCATTATGCTGCACTCAACCCATTTGTTAGAAATCCCTTATTCAGGCAAAGAAAATAATGTAAACACAGTGGAAGAGTAAGATCATATTCCAAGTGGTGCTTCATCAACAGTACTTGTCTAAGTTGTACAGGCTCTTCTTCTGCTTAAGGGAAAAAACAAGCAAAGATCTGTTTCCATCTTGAAAATCTTACATTGAAGACCATTCTCCTGAGTGCCGTGCCAGCTGTGGTTTTTACCTGCTCTATTCAAGATCTACAACAGTACAGGCCAGAAGGACATCTCCATGTCTGAGTGTTACATTAAATATTAATAACCACAGTATCTTTATTTGCATAAATCTTAGCAAAATTTTTTAAAATTACATTTACTTTGTTGATTAAGAGTCTACTACAGAGAACTTGGATCACATTCTTTCCCAGGAGTATAGAATCATGGAACAGTTAGGGCTGGAAAGGACCTTTAAAGACCATCTAGTCCAACTCTGCAATGAGCAGGGACATCTTCAACTAAATCAGGTTGCTCAGAGCCCGGTCCAACCTTACTGTGAATGTTCCCAGGGATGGGGCATCTACCACCTCTCAGGACAAGTACTTTATCACCCTCAGCCTAAAAAATGTCTCCCTTATATTTAATCAAAATTGTCCTTCTTTTAGCTTAAAGCCATTACCCCTTGGCCCTGCTAAAAAGTTTGTTCCCATCTTTCTTATAAGCCCCCTTTTGGTACTGAAAGGCTTCTTTAAGATCTCCCTGGTGTCTTCTCTCCTTCAGACTGAACAGCCTCAACTCTCCACCTTTCCTCACAGAAGAACTGTTCCATCCCTCTGATAATTCTTGTAGCTCTCCTCTGACCCCACTCCAACAGGTCCATGTCTTTCCTGTGCTGAAGAGCCCAGAGCTGGACACAATATTCATGTTACTCCTTCTGACCATTGAACTGCTGTAGGAAGTGATTCTTGAAAGCCTTGTGAAGGTGACAGTGGCCTCCATGTTTCCAGGTAAGCCAAGCCCAAGAACTTCCTACAGAAACACAATGTTTGCAATAGGAATGTGATATTTACACTGTTCTTTTTAAATGAATCCTTCATAATGAAATCTCTGAAGTATGAAGGTGGGAAAATCTGTTTTTTTCCTTTGGTAGTTAAGAGATTATCACAATGTTATATGCATATAGCATGTATTATATGCACATAGCTGGAAAAAAATATGATGGAAAAAGTGCCCTCAACACTTTGCTCGAACTCTCTTAAAGCTGCCAAATAGTGTCTTAACTTATGGCTGCTCAACTGATACCAAGGCTCATTTTCCATCATAATAAATGCATATATCAATCTACTTATACTGTTTTTCCAAAAGGATAAAAAATATTCATCACTAATATAGTAACTGCTGTGCAATTAAACATTAACACACTCACTGTCCAGTATCTACAGCTTTTCCTGATGTCATCCACAGGCATAACTGTTCTACACTTAGCAGAAATGAGAGACTGAGTTTTCTGCCTTGCACCTCACCTGACAGCTGAAAGGAAAACTGCTCCTTCTGCATGTGTAACCCTGTGTTCCTGAAACAAACAGAAACATCACTGACAGCCTGTGCTTTGCTGCAAGCTCAATATTTCTCACCTATTGACCCCGACAGGATTGTATTTATCCACTGATCTGTTGTTCTGAGAGGAATAAGCACCTTCATTCAAATAAATGGATGTTTGCTTCATAGCAATTATTTATC